TTTCTGAAGAAGGGTCTAGACCCGAAACTTCAGCCTTCCTGCTCCTCTGATGCTGCTTGGCCTGCTGTGTTCATCCAGCTCTACACCTTGTTATCTCAGATTCTCCAGCATCTGCAGTTCCTGCTATCTCTGATGCAGTTTAAACTTCCTTTTTTTTTGTCATGTGCCATTTCTACAATACAGAGGGGTTCAAAATGTGCTTTTTGTCAGCAATTTATAATATTAGACTAACACATCTTTACTCTTTCCTGGGTTGTGGGATACCAACGGATGTTGTCAGCATTTGGCTTACTATGCCAGAGGGCAGTTGAGAGTGGATCACGTTGCTGTGGATCTGGAGTCATGATGGCATAAGGATGGCAGATTCCCTTTGCTAAAGGACATTGATTGAAAAAACCCATTTGATTCAATAATAATTTGATCACCATGACTGCGATTAGCCTTAATTTTCATTTTTAAATTTAACTTGCATCAGCTGCCATGGTTCGATTTGATCCCATGTCCTCGGTGTATTAGCCTGTACTTTGTAGCCCACTACACGACCATCCCCGCTAAGTGACTTTGTTTCATGGAATAATTCCTTCTTTACTGACTTGTGTTCTGTGCAGGGTATTGAAAGCCCACAACCATAATTTTCTGAATGTATCTAGAATCCAGATAATATTCATTTTAAGCAAAGCTAAATGTTAAAAATTTGGTTGACACTCTGTTCAAGGGCAATTAGGGTGGGCAAAAATGCTGGTCTTCCAACAATGCCCACATTCCACAAAACAATAAAGATGTTTTTATCAAATATAGTTTATAATACACATGAACAAAAACAGTCCTTTTGAATCCTTTGGTATAGTAGTTGTGGAATGACACGACGAATAAAAATTCATTTATACCGCAGTAATGAACTGTATTACTGAAGTATGTATTTTTGGATACAAAATTAGCTGATTGATAGGAAATAGAGTAATGGTCGTTGGATATTTTTCCAGCTGGAGAAAGGTTTGTAGTGGAGTTCCCCAGGGACAGTAATGGGACCCTTGCTTTTCCTGATAATTATATTTTACTAATCTGGGTCTTGGAAACAGTCCCTGTATACCAGGTTTGCTGATGGTACTAAACTCAGAACAGTTGTAACCGAGAGGAGGATAACATGGAACTCAAAAATGACATTGACAATTGGATGGACCACACAGATAGTAAGCAGGTGACATTCAATACCGAGAAGTGTGAGGTGATGTACTTTGTTTGAAAGAACACGGAGAGACCATACAAAATAGATTCAATTCTAAAAGGGGGTGCAAGGGCATTGGATACATAATATGCACAGATCATTGAAGGTGGCAGCATAGGTGGAGAGGGCAATAAATAAAGCATGGAGTCTTCTCGGTTTTGTTAATGGGGGCATGAAGTGCAAGACAAAGAGATGATGTTGAACCTGGATAAGACACTTGTTAGATCTCAGCAAGAGTATCATATATTTTGTGGGCACCACATTATTGGAAAGATGTGATTGGATTGGAGAGGGTGCAGAAGTGACTTACTAGAATGGTTCCAGGTATGTGAAACTTTAGCTATGAAGATACAATGATACAATGGGTCTGTCCTCCGTGGAGAGGAGGAGATTGATTTAAGGTTTTCAAAATCATGAGTGGGCTGTACAGTTTTTTTTTTTCTCATTTGTAATAGAATCAAGAACGTGAGGGCAAAGATTTAAAGTGATGTGCAAATGAAGCAAGAGTGATGACAAAATCTTTTACACATAGCAAGTTGTTAGGGCAATGTTGGGAACTGTACTGGAGGCAGGTTGAATTGCAGCATTCAGTAGGATATTGTGTTTTTTTTTAAACAGTAAAGGTGTGCAGGGATATGGAGAAAAGGCAGGAGTTTGGTATTTGGTAGCCATGATGGGCTAAGTGGCCTCCTACACCATAATGATTCTGTGGTTCTGTTACATGACCAGACTATTGTTCTTGCACTGCTGCAGATGTATTAGTTACTGCTTTTATTTTCATGAACCAAACAATTATTGATTTCTTTTTGTAACTACACAGCTTTACAAAGTCATACTCGTTCAATATCTTGCTGCTGGACTATGCTGGGCTTTATATGATGCCATGAAGTTTGAAAATGCTTTTCAATAAGGTGAAAAAGAGGCGTCAAATATTCTTGTTCAGACTAATTTATGGATTGACACTGACACTGGAAATACTCAAATCATGCTGCATCAAGTGGAGAGAAAGTGTTTCAGGTTAATGACCTTTTACCAGACTTTGACATTGGCCTATCATGCACTTTCCAAAGTACTTGAATACATTGCCATCTGCATCGCTTTGCATTTCTCGAACTCGATGTGTGAATTATTATGATAAGATTTACACCTCTGTCGCAGCACACATACAGTCTTTTGATTGTGGCCATGGTGCATTAACAGTCTTTGAACTCTCTGCAACCTTTGACACAACAGAGCACACAGTTCTCTGCCAGTGCCTTTCCTGTTTTGTCAAGTTAGTGATGTTGCTGTTGTTCATGTCACCCTATCTTATTGAAACAAGAGTTGCTGTAACAGTGACTGATGTGTTCACACTAACTGACTGACCAGTATATCTAGAGAACTATAGTTGGCTGTCCTCCACCAGATGTTGTTCCTTAGTGGCATAATTAATATCATGTGGGGTTTCACCCCATGTCTAAGTCGTGGAACTGAAATGTTAACTTGTTAATGAGTATATGCAGCATTTTCTGTTTTCAATTATGAATGCTGATAACATCCAGCACTTTTCTCACCAATTCATTGCCACTGTGGTGTCAGATATCTGGTCTTGCATGAATCATGGTTTCCTCTACTTCAATCTTCAGAATAGTTAAAACGTTATTTTCAGGTTCATACACAAATTCTGTGTTCTTGACCCCTATTTTGTTGTCTTCCTTAGCCATTGTCTCAGGCTAAATCAGAATGTTCCCTAACTGAAGTATCCTGTTGAATCGAGTTTTTAATTCCCCTTACATAATATCACCTGCCTCTGCCTCTCCTGCAAGTTTTCTGTGAAACCTTAATCCAGTTTCTTTCTCACTACCAGACCTGATTATTCCAGTGAGTTCATCGGAGGCCTCTTTTATTATCCACCTTCTATAGCTTGAGCTGATTCAAAACTCTGTTATTTCACATTAAGCCTGCTCAACAATCACCTTATCTTTGCTGATTCCCATCCCTGTGTCCAGATCTTATAATCCTATCGCTTCCTGTTTCTATTACTTCCTCCGGTCCTATGTCTCCGCTGAGAATCCCTACCCTGTCAGTTTGTCACATCATTGGTGACCATGTATTCTCTAATAGGTGCAACCGCACATAATCCTCACCAACCTTCCCACTGCAAGCAGGCTGCTTTTCCCTTAAAATCCCCTTTTTTAAAAGTCTACCCCTCCTAATGTCTCCTTTTTTTAATACCTATTTTTGTCTCCACATGCTTCTGAATTGCCGTGGGACATTTTTCAATGATATTAATCAAATTGTCAAAGGGGAATCGCGTTATAAAATGACCTGATGCTCAAAGCTTGCACAACCCCTTAATGATTAAATTAGAACGCTGAATCTTCAGTTCCACCCCCCTCCCCACCTCAAATTGGCTATGGGTTTTTAATCTGTTGCTAGTTTCTCCAAAGATCACGTGGCATCTTAAAGGTAGAGTGATTGTTCATGAAATTTTAAGCATTGCAGTTGTATTTTCCAGGGAAAATGGGCCTGCAAGTCTTTTCTTGCCTGACATTTTAATTGGTTTTGCGTTAAATTTTTAAAATTTAAGATAATTTATTTTCATTTCTGTGATGTAAGGTGTGAAATTTATTTATTTTATTATCATTTTAGAGTTTGGATTTTGAACTAGCAGGTGGGTTTTTTTCTAGTCTATGAAGGAGTTTAATAATTAACTTCTAACATTTCTGTTGCCATGGTGATTTTGTTTTTTTTATTTTCAATTTTAGAGCACAGTATGAGGGACAGACTTCCAGGAGTGTAATAGGCTTTCTTTTGCCCCACTTTTGGTGAGTTTTACAAGTCAACAGAGCAAACAGTTCTGCACTAGACATCAGGTAGAAGGATCTGCAAATTTTTTTGTTGGTTTATTGAAAACACCCATAGCTTGAAGAAAGCACTTTTGATTTCGGTTTTGCAGAAGACTTGACTGGAGCTAGATATGTAAAACGCTCACTCCTGAAGACAGGAGATAGTTTAGGACTGTGGAGAAATAGGTTAGCTCAATGTAAGGAATTTTAGTTTGGTGGTCCCAAGTCGAAAGTGTTCAGTTAAAACCCTGAAAGTTTTATGTGAACTTGAGAATTCTCTGGGGAATTACCATTACAAAACAAACAGTAGATTTTCATAGCAGAGGGCAGAACATCAGTCACAGGACACGGAGACCTGCTGGAGATGCTGTGGTTGGTCTCTTTTTGGAAGAATGTTCAAAACATGAAAGGTTTGATGACTGGAATAAGGAATGGACTGTTTTTGGTGGCAAACAACTGGTCACAAGTGAGCCTAGATTCAAAGTTATTGGTAAAATTTTTTTTTTTTTGCTTACGCAGTGAGTGTCCTGTTGGAAGTTTGGATGTAGATTTAATAGTAGCATTCAAAAGAGAATTTGACAAATACTTAAAGGGAAAACATTTATAGGGTTATTGAGATTAAGTGGAAAGCCTTATCAAAGCTAGGACAGGCACTCTATATTGAATGACCTCCTTTTATGAACTTGTGCTAGGAGTTAAATAGTGCACATACTCGGAGTTCTTTGAAATCAATCACTTTCCTCTAATCTGTGGATCAAGAATGCCTATGACAGCCATAATGGGACATACTTGTTACTTAAGATGTTATTTACTTGAATTCTCTTTTATGCTCATGAAAGCATTTCAAAAAATGATTACTTGGTTTAGAAGCTAATTATTACATCTCTTGTTTAGACACTGATGAAAACTACATTATGGATCAAGGAGGGGGAGGACTTGAGTTACATTCACAAGAGTCCAAAGTGTCTCATACTATGATCATGCAAGACTTTGGTAAGTAGTTAACTCTGCACTGTAAATAAGTAAAGTTGTTAGGTTTATATAGTATAATTCAATAATTGTTATCAAAAGATCATTATATTAATCATTATTTATTTAGGTAGAGATTTGAAGGAGAATTCTAAAGTAACAACATTTGGGGCTATTCCACCAACTTGAACCTGCAATTGGGGAAAGTCCTAACCTGACAACTTAACAAATTCAGTACAAAGTGAAATAACATAAATGGGCTGTTTGTATAATATGACGAAAAATATGGATCCATGTTCAATTTAATTTCAGCCACCTTGGGCATATCAGCTACATATTTTACTTATCCAGCTGAGAGATTCAGCATGGTCATGTAATCGGAGGCGAATTATGTAGCCAGTGACTTAAGTTATGCTGTTCTACTGAATTAACCAGCCCTCTTGTATGGCTTTTCAGCAAGTGTGTATGATCACGACTAGGCACATTTCAAAGTTTCTGATAATGGTTGATCCTATAGTTCAGTTTATTTTTGGTGTTTTTACTGTGTATGCATTTGCGCGTATAAGATATGTATGCCCTATGTCTCATGCAACTTGGCCTCAGAAGAAATATAATCGGTAGAATTATTTCAATTATTAGAAATGTTACAAAATGGCACAGTATTAATCTATTTTTGTATTACAGTGACTGGAATGGCTGGTGCTGCCCATGTTGATGGCGATCACATTGTTGTATCTGTACCTGATGCAGTGCTGGTCTCTGATGTCACTGAGGAAGAAGTTACACTAGGACATGGTCTCCCAACTAATATTCACGAAGTTGTGCAGGGTCCAGATATTATAGCTGAAAATGACGTTGTTACAGAAGGTGTGATTGTCTCAGATTCAGTACTAGAGACTAATGTTACTATGGAAGAAGACTTGAACACTAGTTCCGTTCCTGACCATGTCCTAGCTTCTGATCTTATAACTGAGACTGTTGGTGTTCCAGATCAAGTACTTGTGTCAGATCTTGTATCGGTGCAGGATGAGGAACATTTTGAGCACGTGGTTCAGGATTCAGTAACAGATGTTCTCTCTCCTGGAATGGTCTCCGAAGAGGTTATGGAAGTAGATGCTGTTTCAGAGACTGTGATTCAAAACCATGATTTAGTAGTTCAAAATCAAGAGACTGTTTCTGACCCACCTATTGAAGCCCGAGTTGACGGAAAAGATGCATCTGAGGATTTCTTAATGATATCCTGTAAGTGACAGTTTACAGTATGGCTTTTATGTTTAGATTATTGGAAATGAAATTTTGTATAGTCTGTCCGCAGTGCCTCCTGTTTAAAAAAAAATGCAGTACCACTTTTCCAATAATAGACAACATAGAAATAAATTGTAACATTTATACAGCCAAGAAGTTTAAGTAATGATTTAAGTCAAAAGAGCTTTAACCTTGAAAACCACTATTTTTATATTATTTCATAGTATTTTACCTACAATAGTGTATAATAAAAGAAAAATAAGTTAGTGCTAGTTTGTTACTAATAGAGCAAATATTAAAGCATATAGGTCTGAAATAAGCCATTATGCTTTATCTGTGTTGGAAACCCTGTAATACATCTTGATCAACTGTTTTTGTCCAGTCTTTCCTGATAGTCCATTTGCTAATCATTGCAGCATGTAATTAAATCTGAACTGTTCCTTCACTCTCCCTTTTCAAATTTGATATTTATGTAAGTTTTGAGACTGCATTTTAGTATTTGAATTTTTATCAGTAACCTTTTGGGATCTTGAATACTTCCCTTACTAGATGGTGAAATAAGTGTCTTCCATTATAAACATTCCCAGCTTATTTAAACTGTAGTAAGATTAGGTCTTCGCTCAAGAACATGCATGTGACCATATACAAATGATGGTACGAGAGAGCCTTTTTGTGACCCTACAAACTAAGATTTCTGTTTACCTTCTTAAGTCTTTTCAAATGTATGATCATCACTCATTAGTTGTAGCAGAATGTTATCTGCTGATAATACATTGAAATCTTTGAGCTCTGAATATTTCAGTGAAAGTGGTTTTTCCCCTTCATTGTGGTATTTCCTCAGTTGTGTCACTGGCTGTCTCTGCACGAGATTTGTGAAAATTTTCTCTCAGCTTTTTCACATTTGTGAGTCCTTGTTTCTTTTTTCTGTAATCACTTCCTCGTGAACTGTTAACTCTTCATGTTCTTGAAACAGTTGTTTCCCTTCATTCTCTGTATCTTTACTATGCATCTGAAGTCTCAGTTGGTAACTTAAGTTGGAATGCAAGAATCAAAGGTTGTCTTTTTCTTTTGTGATCCTAGCGAGTAACTGCAGCAAATATTTTGTTTCTGTATGAAACAGTCTCTTGTCAAACTCCGAGGCGGCATAGTGGTGTGTTCATGGGCCTTTAGTTTAGCAGTCTTCTTTGGGTAATTAGAATCTTTTCAAATCTTGCTTAATTCTAGTTAGGTTCAAGGTAGATTTGATGCTTGGCTTTAAGGTACGCTTCATCTGTAAAAGCTCTATACTTTAGGTTCTTTTTGCCTATTCAGGAAAGTCAAATACTCTTGAATATTGAGTTCCCAATCTTGGTCACCCTGCAACCACATCTCCATAATCGTATAAAGTCACATTCATTGATTTTTATTCAAGCGATCAACTCGTCTATCTTTTTACAAATGCTGCGTGCTTTCAGATAAAGAGCCTTTGAAATTTTGCATTTATCACTTATTGTAGACATAATTTTTGCATTCTTTTTTTTTGTCCCTTCCTGTCTCACTTTGATTATTGCTCACCTCATTCCCCTGCACCTCTGCTGTCACATTTATCGTTGTGTTTTTCCACTTCCTGTCCCACAACAATTCTCCCTTTCCCCAGTATTCCTAAACTGGAGTTTTTCCCATATCAGTTCTTAAACCGCACATTTACCCCTCTAATCTTATTTCCCTTAAGAGAAGTTGCAAATGGCTCAGGGAGCAATTCGAGCATTATTAACTTCGTGGCTGTGCTGTCTCATTTCGCCCCAAACTACTCTTAATTCTTCAGCAAAGCCTCTTTCCTGGCCTTACCTATGTAAATCACAATAACTGTATCCTTCCTCTCTCATTCCGAGTTTCTCTCCAGCCTGAAGTAGATGTTGTGAACCTTGGCACCAAGTAAGCAATACAGCCTTTGGGACTTTCTGTCTTTGCTGCAGAGATCAGTATAAGGCCATAAAAAATAGAAGTAGAAATAGGCCAGTTTGCCCATCAAGTCTGATGCACCATTCGGTGAGATCATGGTTAATCTGATTATCCTCAGCTCCACTTCCTGCTGTATCCACATAACTCTTGATCGATTTACTGAATAAAAATCTTTCTCAGCCTTAAACAAAGTTAATGACCCAGTCTGTGCAGCCCTCTTTGATAAAGAATTCTGCAGATTAACTACCCTCCAAGAGAAGAAATTCCTCCTCACGTCAGTTTAATTGGGCAACCCTTACTTTGAAATAATGTCCTCAGGTCCTAGACTATCCCAGAAAGGGGAGATAACCTCTCTGCATCTACGATGTCAAACTCCTAAGAATCTTTTATATTTCAATAAGATCTCCTCTCATTCTTCGAAATTCCGTTATGTAGAAACCCAACCTTCCCAACCTCTCCTCCATAAGAAAATCCCTCCATACCCAGGATCAACCTTCTCTGGACTGCCTCCAATGCCAATATGTCTTTCTTTGGAAAAGGAGACCAAGAGTATTCACTGGATTCCAGCTGTTGTTTGTCTAGAATCTTTTTATAATACAGTTTTAGCAAAACCTCTCTATTGTCTTTGAAATAAAGATTGACTTTCCATTTACCTTCCCTGTTACCTGCTGAACTTGAGTGCTTTTTGTGATACATACACAATGACTCCCATGTCTCTCTGCACTGCAGCTTTCAAAAGTCTTTCTCCATTTAAATCGTACTCACTTCTCTTTTTATCTGTATTTTTCTTCATATTTGATAACGCTGTCCCCTATTATTAGTATTATTATTACTATGGCCACAACATTTTGCTTTTCTCCTGAACTTGAGTGGCAGCCTGTGCCATCATCCATGCTGGGAGCAAGAACTTCAGACGTATTGGACAAGGGCACACGCTGAGGTCCCTCCAGAGCTATATTGCGGATCCCCATACCTGGCTTACTCATAGTCAGATCTTCCTGTCCCTGACCATGGACCACATTTGATATAATTAAGGAAAGTGGTGTCACTGCCTCCTGAAACATGGTGTCTAGGTATGTCTCCTGCTCTGTGATGTGTCAGTGTGGAGGTGGTCTCAGTAGTGCGTGCCAGCTTACATATACTACAACTGCAAAACATTGCCTGCTCAATTGTCTGTCTGTCTTTCTTTAAATTGGATGTTAAGCATATTAAAAGTTTTTTTTTAAATTATACACTTGCAGAAAAGTCTTTTGATTTAAACCACTTGACCAATAAAGAGACAGGAAATACCCACCAATCAGGTGCTTGTTTTTCAGTGACATCATGTTTGAAGGGGCTCTGCTACCCTTCTCACGCAGGTCCACTCTCTTATCTTCATGAAACTATTGTCCATACTCTCTCCCTTGTGCTGTTTCAGAAGTTGCAGACCCTGCTTTGTCACCCATTCTTTATGAATCTGTTGACCATGCTCTGTCTCACTTACAGAAGCACAGAGTCCTCCTCTCTTCCTGACTTTCATATGCTGGTGAATCTGGGTCCTCCTTTCTCTTGTTCTATTTGGCACTGGTCACTGTCTCTCAGTCCTCCTCCATCCCTCTCCTCCCAAACTTTATGGTCAGGTATGCTGCAGAAACTGAAATGATGGACAGCTGAAGTTCATTTAAATGTAGGGAAGTAGACTTTATTTGGATTAAACATGATATCAATGCACAGAATTCATCTTGAGGGTCTAATGAATCTGATGTTTCTAAGTACTAGAAATCATCTAGTAGATCTCTTGTATCCCTTAGACTGTTTCTCATTATGTTGGTGCTGCAACTCTGACTTAGTCTCCATCTGACAGTCTCAACCCTGTTGGGCTGAGTGACTGCAGATGGGATCCCCTATGGCTGTGGTGACACCTTGTTCCTCCCCATGTTTTCTGCTGGCAGACCTTCTGTGTTCATTTAATTGCCATCTCGATGTATAGCTGTACTCTGCAATCATCTAATACCTGCTGTATAGCTGAATAGTTGTTTTCCCTGCTGCAAGCTTATATTTTTCCCATTTCATGTCCTGAATGTTCTGTGGATTGTCTTTGGAGCTCATCATCCTGCCGTAACCTTTTCCACATTTACCAGATCTGACCACTGAACTATGTGCTCTGCAGCAGTTTTTCCCATGCACACCTTGTCTATTTTACTGCACTGTGGGACTTCCCAGGTTACCCTGATTGACAAAGATCCCCTACCCTCTATGGACCCATCCCTGAAGAATTAGTTTGCAGCCAGATTGCCTCCAGAGTCATTCTGTCTGTCTGCTGTGAAGTTATTTTGTTCTTTTTGCAAGTTGGACTTCTTTCTCAACTGTGGGCTTTTGTTGGACAATGTTTGTTTTTTTTACTGCTGCCTGAGTGTCTTGGATGCTTATGTAGTAAGATCATAGAACATTACAGCGCAGTACAGGCCCTTTAGCCCTCGATGTTGCGCCGACCTGTGAAACCAATCTGAAGCCCATCTAACCTAAACTATTCCATTATCATCCATATGTTTATCCAATGACCATTTAAATGCCCTTAAAGTTGGCGAGTCTACTACTTTTGCAGGCAGGGCATTCCACGCCCTTACTACTCTGAGTAAAGAACCTACCTCTGACATCTGTCCTATATCTATCACCCCTCAATTTAAAGCTATTTAAAGCTATCAGATTTGCATTAAACGTAATAGTATATGTGGGATGGTGAGCAAGAGTCTGATTGAGACCCTAAATGCTCAGGTCCTGGTTCCATCTTGTTCTGACACCTTTATAAAGTACTGCCTTTCATACATGCTATTCTCGGAGTAAACCGAGCCAGCTAACCCATCGCCCACCAACCCAAAGCACCCCCCCCCACACCCTCACTGTAATCTGTCCTTAAAAACCAGATGTCTCCTCTTGTCTATTTGCTTAATCATACCCACTCCAATGTCCGTGTAAACATAGAACAGTACAGCACAGGAATTGACCCTTCAGCCCACTGCTGGAGATTTTGTATTTTATGTTGCCCAGTGTACACAATACTTCTGGTGAAAGATATG